AAGTTCCTGAAGATAATTGCTAATGGTTACAAGATTGCTTCAGCTAGTTCATTAAGTACCTTAGGATGAATTTCATCAGGCCCTGCTGACTTGAATACATCTAATTTATCTAAATATTCTTTAATCTGTTCTGTCCCTATTTTGACTTGCATTCCTTACCCCTTGTTGTTAATATTGATTACCCATTAATTACCCATAACTCACTGAATCTGGGGGCAGGAGGATGAGGGGGAGGAAGGGAAGTTACTCTCCTTTTCCTCACATGCCTGAAAAGTCTGTGCATAATGTGAATATTTTGCTGCACAGTGTTGCAAGGTCCTGTTCTGGGCTTGATTAAATCACAGGATTCTTTGCTGGAATAGAAAATACTCCTAGCCTCCTTAGCCCTTGACACAAAATGTTTGTTTTGCTTCCAGTCTCCCAGCACATACAGTAGATAACACAGAAAACACTCAATATAGTTGGAGTTCACTGCAAGGGGAATGGAGAAGAGAATTAGTGCATAGCGAAAAAAAAGCTCACTTGCAACTTTTCCTTCTGCATTGCTTGGTATGTGTTATTTCTCAACCAGAGTAAGGAGGAAATCATGCGATTAATCAGTCCAACACTGGTGTTCAATGCACAGGGCAAAACCCACCTCTGGTGGCCATAAGTGGGTTAATATCCAACTCCATTTCCTTTCATCCCTACCCCATCCTCATTCTGCTCATCAAAGGGGATGACAGCCTTTTCCCTAGACCTATATAGGCACCATCCACACAGGTACACTCACACAGAAGCACATTTACAGAAGCAGTCATTTGTGTCCTGCCTGAAGGTACAGGATCCCACAAGAACACAGATCTCCCTGTGAGGTTGTGAATTTAAATCAAAAGCCGTAAACACAGAGTGCAGACTAATAGTAATTGTCCTGCAGGAACACTCTAGTATTAATGCTGACAAATGTCCAACATAAGGGACCTAATTTTGTCGTCAGATACCTGGTTGTAATCCTTATTGAAACCAATGAAAGCTGCACCTTTGTATCTGAGGGTAGAACTGGGCTCCTGAGTTACACCCGTGTTTCTAAGGGTATATTTATGCCCAGTATTCTGAAGTCTGTGCTAGAGAATTTAGGCTCAAAAGTTGCATCACTTTCAGAGTGTCATTTTCCATGAGACTTTGCAGGTTACACAATTCCTGCAGATGCTGTACATCTCCATGAAAATGCCAATCTCCTGTGACTCCCTCATGGATCTCAGCAACGGCCAGATCCTACATTCCTTGTGAACCATGAAACTCCCATTCACTTCAAAGGGGATTTGTGGTGTGCATGATTGGATCAACAATCTGCACCCCCTACATGCACATACATTCACATAACACTCATATGCCCACGCACATACGTACACACACATACACTTCATTAGCACCTTCACTGAATAATTTAGAATTCCCAGGGCTCACAGCTCATTCAGCTTGTTTTGTGAAGCTTACAGTAGCTGTCTTTTCTCTACATGCATTTAGGGACTGTTCCTACAGGCTTAATTCACCCAAGTGGGGCCACTTTTATATGAATCAGGGCTGCAGGCTGGGCGCCCACTGGGAACGTACTGTAGGTCTCTTGCAGCCGCAGGAGGGGAAGGAAGAATACTCATTCCAAATGCTAATTGCACTTTGTGATTCCTGACTGCAGTTCTTCTGTGCTTGCAAGTTCTCATTTCTTTTTTTCTTTTGCTCCAAACAGACAATTTAATCTGCCTGAGAGAACCTTTTGACAGTGTATCGGTCTGTAACAAGCTCCTGCTGGGAGCAGCTGGACTGGTATGCAAGGATTGGAAAGGCAGACCTTTCCCTTCAGAGAAAGCCAGGAAACAGAAGGTTACTAGCTCAAGACAGGGAGTTCAGGCTGAACCTGGCATGGGTCTACGGAGCAGCGGCGGCATCTCTCCACCCTATCCTCAAATTTGGCCTTCAAACCTTCAAACATTCTGGGCTGTTGCCCACTGCATGAGATGTCATCATGAATGAGTATAACTCTCAGAGCTTGTGCAATTAAATTGCTGCCTGGAATTTGCTGAGCCTACGACCCACCTTCTGTGCATGTAAGGCAGGCCAGAGAATCCACCCAAGAAAGAAAGCTAATGGAGCTGCTTCACCCAGCGAACCATCTTTGGTGCTATAAGAGTAAATGTGTTGATGGGCTAGAGCGGGGGAGGAGGGGGATGGATGACAGGACACACAGGCACCCTTCCCCATCAGTGTACACATAAGGCAGCTATAATTTAGCCCCCAGAGCTCCAGTAAATGAGGAGAGTGGAAGGACAGCTAGAGCTGACCAAACCCAAGGGGGAGTGTCTGCATGTGGCTGGGCATAGCTAGACCCCAGCACCCTGAGCACTGACCAGCACTGTAAGGGTATGTCTACACTACGGAATAAGGTCGAATTTATAGAAGTCGGTTTTTTTAGAAATCGGTTTTATATATTCGAGTGTGTGTGTCCCCACAGAAAATGCTCTAAGTGCATTAAGTGCATTAACTCGGCGGAGCGCTTCCACAGTACCGAGGCTAGAGTCGACTTCCAGAGCATTGCATTGTGGGTGGCTATCCCACAGTTCCAGCAGTCTCCGCTGCCCATTGGAATTCTGGGTTGAGATCCCAATGCCTGATGGGGCTAAAACATTGTCGCGGGTGGTTCTGGGTACATATCGTCAGGCCCCCGTTCCCTCCCTCCTTCCGTGAAAGCAGCAGCAGACAATCGTTTCACGCCTTTTTTCCTGAGTTACCTGTGCAGACACCATACCATGGCAAGCATGGAGCCCGCTCAGGTAACCGTCACCCTATGTCTCCTGGGTGCTGGCAGACGCGGTACAGCATTGCTACACAGTAGCAGCAACCCCTTGCCTTGTGGCAGCAGACAGTACAGTACGACTGGTAGCCGTAATCGTCATGTCCGAGGTGCTCCTGGCCACGTCGGCTGGGAGCGCCTGGACAGACATGGGCGCAGGGACTAAATTTGGAGTGACTTGACCAGGTCATTCTCTTTAGTCCTGCAGTCAGTCCTATTGAACCGTCTTATGGTGAGCAGGCAGGCGATATGGATTGCTAGCAGTTGTACTGTACCATCTTCTGCCGAGCAGCCATGAGATGTGGATGGTATGCAGTCCTTCTGCACCGTCTGCTGCCAGCCAAAGATGTAAAAGATAGATGGAGTGGATCAAAACAAGAAATAGACCAGATTTGTTCTGTATTCATTTGCTTCCCCCCTGCCCCCGTCTAGGGGACTCATTCTTCTAGGTCACACTGCAGTCACTCACAGAGAAGGTGCAGCGAGGTAAATCTAGCCATGCATCAATCAGAGGCCAGGCTAACCTCCTTGTTCCAATAAGAACAATAACTTAGGTGCACCATTTCTTATTGGAACCCTCCGTGAAGTCCTGCCTGAAATACTCCTTGATGTAAAGACACCCCCTTTGTTGATTTTAGCTCCCTGAAGCCAACCCTGTAAGCCGTGTCGTCAGTCGCCCCTCCCTCCGTCAGAGCAACGGCAGACAATCGTTCCGCGCCTTTTTTCTGTGCGGACGCCATACCAAGGCAAGCATGGAGGCCGCTCAGCTCACTTTGGCAATTAGGAGCACATTAAACACCACACGCATTATCCAGCGTATATGCAGAACCAGAACCGGGCAAAGCAATACCAGGCGAGGAGGCGACGTCAGCGCGGTCACGTGAGTGATCAGGACATGGACACAGATTTCTCTGAAAGCATGGGCCCTGCCAATGCATGCATCATGGTGCTAATGGGGCAGGTTCATGCTGTGGAACGCCGATTCTGGGCTCGGGAAACAAGCACAGACTGGTGGGACCGCATAGTGTTGCAGGTCTGGGACGATTCCCAGTGGCTGCGAAACTTTCGCATGCATAAGGGCACTTTCATGGAACTTTGTGACTTGCTTTCCCCTGCCCTGAGGCGCATGAATACCAAGATGAGAGCAGCCCTCACAGTTGAGAAGCGAGTGGCGATAGCCCTGTGGAAGCTTGCAACGCCAGACAGCTACCAGTCAGTTGGGAATCAATTTGGAGTGGGCAAATCTACTGTTGGGGCAGCTGTGATGCAAGTAGCCCACGCAATCAAAGATCTGCTGATATCAAGGTTAGTGACCCTGGGAAATGTGCAGGTCATAGTGGATGGCTTTGCTGCAATGGGATTCCCTAACTGTGGTGGGGCCATAGACGGAACCCATATCCCTATCTTGGCACCGGAGCACCAAGCTGCCGAGTACATAAACCGCAAAGGGTACTTTTCGATAGTGCTGCAAGCTCTGGTGGATCACAAGGGACGTTTCACCAACATCAACGTGGGATGGCCGGGAAAGGTACATGACGCTCGCATCTTCAGGAACTCTGGTCTGTTTCAAAAGCTGCAGGAAGGGACTTTATTCCCAGACCAGAAAATAACTGTTGGGGATCTTGAAATGCCTATATGTATCCTTGGGGACCCAGCCTACCCCTTAATGCCATGGCTCATGAAGCCGTACACAGGCAGCCTGGACAGTGGTCAGGAGCTGTTCAACTACAGGCTGAGCAAGTGCAGAATGGTGGTAGAATGTGCATTTGGACGTTTAAAGGCGCGCTGGCGCAGTTTACTGACTCGCTTAGACCTCAGCGAAACCAATATTCCCACTGTTATTACTGCTTGCTGTGTGCTCCACAATATCTGTGAGAGTAAGGGGGAGACGTTTATGGCGGGGTGGGAGGTTGAGACAAATCGCCTGGCTGCTGGTTACGCGCAGCCAGACACCAGGGCTGTTAGAAGAGCACAGGAGGTCACGGTGCGCATCAGAGAAGCTTTGAAAACCAGTTTCATGACTGGCCAGGCTACGGTGTGAAAGTTCTGTTTGTTTCTCCTTGATGAAACCCCCCGCCCCTTGGTTCACTCTACTTCCCTGTAAGCTAACCACCCGGCCCTCCTCCCTTCAATCACCGCTTGCGGAGGCAATAAAGTCATTGTTGCTTCACATTCATGCATTCTTTATTCATTCATCACACAAATAGGGGGATGACTACCAAGGTAGCCCAGGAGGGGTGGTGGAGGAGGGAAGGAAAATGCCACACAGCACTTTAAGCACAGCACTTTAAAAGTTTACAACTTTAAAATTTATTGAATGACAGCCTTCTTTTTTTTGGGCAATCCTCTGTGGTGGAGTGGCTGGTGGGCCGGAGCCCCCCCCACCGCGTTCTTGGGCGTCTGGGTGTGGAGGCTATGGAACTTGGGGAGGAGGGTGGTTGGTTACAGAGGGGCTGCAGTGGCAGTCTGTGCTCCAGCTTCCTTTGCTGCAGCTCAACCATACACTGGAGCATACTGGTTTGGTCCTCCAGCAGCCTCAGCATTGAATCCTGCCTCCTCTCATCACGCTGCCGCCACATTTGAGCTTCAGCCCTCTCTTCAGCCTGCCACTTACTCTCTTCAGCCCGCCACTTACTCTCTTCAGCCCGCCACCTCTCCTCCCGGTCATTTTGTGCTTTCCTGCACTCTGACATTATTTGCCTCCACGCATTCGTCTGTGCTCTGTCAGTGTGGGAGAACAGCATGAGCTCGGAGAACATTTCATCGCGAGTGCGTTTTTTTTTCTTTCTAAGCTTCACTAGCCTCTGGGAAGGAGAAGATCCTGTGATCATTGAAACACATGCAGCTGGTGGAGAAAAAAAAAGGGACAGCGGTATTTAAAAAGACACATTTTATAAAACAGTGGCTACACTCTTTCAGGGTAAACCTTGCTGTTAACATTACATACATAGCACATGTGCTTTCGTTACAAGGTCGCATTTTGCCTCCCCCCACCGCGTTGCTACCCCCTCAACCCTCCCCTCTCCCCGTGGCTAACAGCGGGGAACATTTCTGTTTAGCCACAGGCAAACAGCCCAGCAGGAATGGGCTCCTCTGAGTGTCCCCTGAAGAAAAGCACTCTATTTCAACCAGGTGACCATGAATTATATCTCACTCTCCTGAGGATAACACAGAGAGATAAAAAACGGATGTTGTTTGAATGCCAGCAAACATACACTGCAATGCTTTGTTCTACAATGATTCCCGAGTACGTGTTACTGGCCTGGACTGGTAAAGCGTCCTACCATGAAGGATGCAATAAGGCTGCCCTCCCCAGAAACCTTTTGCAAAAGCTTTGGGAGTACATCCAGGAGAACCACGAATGCCAGGGCAAAGTAATCCTTTCACATGCTTGCTTTTAAACCATGTATAGTATTTTAAAAGGTACACTCACCAGAGGTCCCTTCTCCGCCTGCTGGGTCCAGGAGGCAGCCTTGGGTGGGTTCGGGGGGTACTGGCTCCAGGTCCAGGGTGAGAAACAGTTCCTGGCTATCGGGAAAACCGGTTTCTCCGCTTGCTTGCTGTGAGCTACCTACAACCTCCTCCTCCTCATCATCTTCTTCGTCCCCAAAACCTGCTTCCATATTGCCTCCATCTCCATTGAAGGAGTCAAACAACACGGCTGGGGTAGTGGTGGCTGAACCCCCTAAAATGGCATGCAGCTCATCATAGAAGCGGCATGTTTGGGGCTCTGACCCGGTGCGGCCGTTCGCCTCTCTGGTTTTCTGGTAGGCTTGCGTCAGCTCCTTCAGTTTCACGCGGCACTGCTTCGGGTCCCTGTTATGGCCTCTGTCCTTCATGCCCTGGGAGATTTTGACAAAGGCTTTGGCATTTCGAAAACTGGAACGGAGTTCTGATAGCACGGATTCCTCTCCCCAAACAGCGATCAGATCCCGTACCTCCCGTTCGGTCCATGCTGGAGCTCTTTTGCGATTCTGGGACTCCATCATGGTCACCTCTGCTGATGAGCTCTGCATGGTCACCTGCAGCTTGCCACGCTGGCCAAACAGGAAATGAGATTCAAAAGTTACCGTCGAATTGTGTCCACAGTACCCCAAATTCGAGCCGGCAAGGCCGATTTAAGCGCTAATCCACTTGTCAGGGGTGGAGTAAGGAAATCGATTTTAAGAGCCCTTTAAGTCGAAATAAAGGGCTTCATCATGTGGACGGGTGCAGGTTTACATCGATTTAATGCTGCTAAATTCGACCTAAAGTCCTAGTGTAGACCAGGGCTAAGTGTGGTAAGAATTACTTCACTTTCCCCAGCACCTAGAAGGCTTCGCATAGGTACTGCTGCTCCGATAGCAAACTCCAACTCCCGACCAGCCCAGCTCTGCCTCTTATATGGCATAATTTAGCCCAGTGGTTCTCAAACCATCAGTCATCCTCACCGCCTGGCCTGGGGGTCACAGGATGAACCCAACCGGGGGGAGCCAGTGTGTTTGGGTGCAGATATCTATGGGTCTATGGGAAGGTCTCTCTCTTACAAGATTGTTCAGATTATGAAAGAGCTAGGGAACGTACTTTGAACCTACAGACTCATCTGAATGCAGCCCCCTGTATCGTCCAGTGGTTGAGCTATTTCTGGACTAGCTTATAGACCCTTCCCTACTGCCTATGACAATTTGACCTGTCTTTTAGGGTTTCGAAAAGCTGTGATGTGCCAGCATCTGGGTTTCTTATGTAGGTCTGCCACCTGGCTGTCAGAGGGATTAATCAGCTTATATGCTAGCTTTGACCCTGCTGGAGAGAGAGGCTCCATCTGTCCTTGCTGTGACCTTTAATGACTCGGGCACCAGGCCCAAGTATTTTTGTTCTAGCGTCAAGTGGGTTTATTCGTGGCTGATTAAATAATCAGGCGAAGTGTTGCTGGTTTAAGTAAACATTTTTAGGCCTCTCCTGAATGTGTTCACTGAGTGGATAATAATGATCAGAACACTTTATGCTAATATTGCACCTTTCATCCAATGCCATCAAAATGCTTCACAATCATGGAATTCATTATTAATATCTTTGTTTTTAGAGAAGGGGAAATGAAGGCACATAGAGGTGAAGTGATTCAAGCTAAGGGCTCATGAGTCATTGGCAGAGCAGAGAATAGAACCCAGCACTCCTGACGGCCAGTCCTTGGCTCTAATAACTGGACAACATCACATGCAGAAGCAACAATAGAGCTTCTCAGTCTCAGATGCTGAACTTGGAGCTCCCTGCCTCCCAGGCAATTCCCTTCACTCTCCCCCATCCCTTTTGTTGTCCCACAAAGAGGGACTTTGTCTGTGTTTGGTAGTGGATAAGGTGACTGGAAGTTCTGATATTATTGTGACCGTCCCGATATTAGAGGCTTAGTTGCCTATAAAAGACAATGTCACCCCCCCCCATCCCCCGGAAAAAATAAGTGTCCCAATTTTCCACACTTGCTATCTGGTCAGCTTACTGGAGGAGGTGATATCACATGGGGCATAAATGGGGTAGAGAGACAGCTGCATGACCCTAGATCCTTCCTAGCCCTTAGGGTAAACATACTCCTGTGAGTTAAGCTGTACTGGATTCCTTGAAAGCTACCTACCATCCTCCCTGCTCCCATGAGCACTGCAGTTGGCAGCAGGAGCTGTTCAAAGGTACAGAGCTGCATGGTCAGGGAATACCATGGGGGCTCAAGAGTCTCTGCTCCCACTGTAATCACATCAGCCAGGAGAGTTCACTCAATCCGGCCCCATGCAGCAGCCACTGGATGACCTTCCCCAAGCCAAGCAGCACATAGCTTTATGATGAGTAAAGGAACAGGGAGAGGGTCATCAAAGAACAAGGGTAAAGACAAAGAAGAAGAAAAAAGTAGATAAAAATACATAGGAAAAGAAAAAATGAGACAAGAAGGGACTCAAAGAGCATATACACAAGGATGGGAGGGAGACTCAGAACAGAAATGGTAGCAACTGCCAGGCATGGCATAAAGCGACTCTGGGGGCTGGCCTTTGCTAATCAAAAGAAGATCTAATCAAAACAAGACAGGAAACCACTGCCTTGAATGTAACCTTGTTTACCCTCTAAAAGAACCCATCAATGCTCTTCTCATGTTGAAACTATCACCAGATGATCCCCCCAAAATGTCATTTTCCATGAGACCCTGCATAGACGAAGTTGGAGAATTTGTAACTTGCCAGTGTGAGGGGTCTGGGACCAGTCAGGAGACCCTCAGGACAGCAAAGATCAGATACCTCATGAGTTGACACACTGGAGCTGTGACCCTTGTCAGGTTTATAAAATGGTATTGTAAACTGTAGATGGGATATTGGTGCCAATCAGCTGTCATGAAGGGAGTTAGAGAAGATGTGCATGGCTTTAAGAAGGTGGCATTAATTTTACTTTGTGGAAGCTCAGCATGATGTTCAAGCATTGTGTGCTTTTGGGTCTAGCTTGTTATATTATCTTGCCAAAAAAAAAAAAAACTCTGAAGACTTTCTCCTACAAACAAACCCCAGCCAAGATGGTGGTTTGGTATGTTCTCCATGAACATAGCCTCATGAGAGGCAGCAGTGTCTGATGGATGCAGAATTTTGTTTCTTTTGCACTGAAAATTGCCTGTGTGATGTTTTGTCCATAGCTGTGGACACATTTTCACTCGTCAATTAGCCTAAAGCTCTGTCACAGTACTATCTTTGAAAAAAGATACATTTTTTAAAAGAAAGATTGGGCCTGTCTGACTTCTGTGTGATGGCCAGTGTGGGGGTATTCAGTAAATATCAGAAGCCTAATCTGAAGAGACCATTCTGATTAGTCTCAGATCATCTGGCCAAATTCTTTGCCGCATAGTTGGAAAATTAGAAGGAATCCAAGTCTGAAAAGCACAAAGGACTGCAGGGTTTGTGTGTGTGCTGTAGACCAGTGTTTCTCAACAACCAGTCTGTGGACCGGCACTAGTTCCTGAGATTTTCCTGACATGCTTTAGGGCAGCAACAAGCCTGTCTCTGGTATCAAAAAGGTTGAGAAACACTGCTGGAGACTGTATGGTGGTGCATTAGCACCAAAGGATAAACCATTCAGCATCCTGAAAACCTATCAGATTCATGCATTTTGAGGGAAAGTTGGCAGCAATTCCTTTTTTATGAAACCCAAAGATATTTTATTTTAAATAGGAATGGATATAGAATAATTTGGGTTGAAAAGAATGTCTGGTTTTTGTACTGTGTTTGTATAGCATCTGGTCTATGACTCGGAGTTCTAGATGCCACAGTAATACAAATAAATAATAACAACAAAGCGGGTCATCTAGTCTATACCCCTGCTTCATGCACAGCAGGAGTGATTTCTTTATTCCACAGTCCTCTCTACCATATAGGTGTCTCGTCTATCTTTGATCTCCAATTACACAGATTCCACAATCACCCTTGGCAGCTTGCTCCATAGTCTAATTGTCCTAACAGAAAGGTTTAACATTTAACCCATATTACCTTGCTACAGTTTAAGCTGATTTTGTCTTGTTCTCTCCTAATAGGCTAACAAGTATAATAGATCCCACACTTCTTTTGCTCTTTTCAGCAATAATAGAAGGTTTTATATACTGTTTCCAACTTGCAAAATAATGGACTAACTAGGTAATAAATCAAGATTTAATTAAAAGATTAATATTTATTTTATTTAATTAAATTATTTAATTTGAGTAAAATATTAATATTAATGCTCTGTAAAGGTTGAGAAATCAAACACCAATGAATCAGTAAATTCTAAAGGGAAGGTGCCAAATTCTGCTCTCAATCACTGCTGTGTAAATCTGGAGTAACTCCATTGGCTTCAACAAATGGGTGGATTTATAGTGAAGGCATGGCAGCTGGTAGATCTGGATTATATCCCTGGCTGTGGTACAGAGTAACAGAGCCTTATGTCAGGAAGTTACTCATTCAACAAGCCTTTGCTTAGTCATCATTAGCTGTGACTTGTTTGTTAGTTTAATTCTCTAAGTCAATGCAGGGCTCTCTGAAACCTATTTAAGCAAGTCCACAAAAGGGTGTTGCATCAATATAATTAAATCAACTTAGAGAAATGAGTTCATTAAATCAGTGCAATTTCTGTGTGTAGATTTGGTCTTGGTGGAAATGAAAATAAGGCCCAACGGCTCAGATCTCGTGGAAAGGACTCTTTGCAGTTCCCCGCATACAGTTTCTTCCAATGTCTTCCTTGGGGACAGCAGGTTTGCTCCCTCTCCCACAAGGTAAGAATCAAGGGCATCAGCCCCCAGAATGTGTTCAATCTCCAAGATCTTGGGGAATCCGGCCAAGACCAAGACTATCCATAATAAGGGGCCTCTTAGTGGTGCTTCTTCTATGGTGCCTCTTAGTCCCCACTGGTTGCCCCTAGTTTCCTTGCCAGAATGGTTCTGGTGGAACCCTGTGATATGATTCCCCCCAGCTGTTTGCTGCCCCATACAAGAGTGGGGGAGGGTTCTGCAGCATAGAGGGGACATTTGTTAGATATTAGGCCTCAGGACGCTCATTCCCTCAAAAGAATCAAGTATGATGATATGCAGATGACTTTTTTAAACAATAATTTAAAATCCCACTGAAATAGGACTTTAATAAATTTGGGTATGTGGACAGCTAACAAGTCTGCATCAATCCAACTTCAGACACAATTGAGATCAGAATCTGGACTCCTATTGCCAGTGTTCATCAGTTTCCATTGCCAATCTATTTCCACACTGATCCTGAAGCCAGAAAGAGAATACTGCCATGTCTTAAATCAATCAGATGAAATGTAAAGCAGAGAGATTGGAATTTGTTTTAATCTCTAGAAAAAATGCAATCAGTTGACATGACTACTGGCCTCATGACATTTCCTGTTGCTGCTATTCTTTATAGCAAGACGCAAACTAGCTGACACTGCTGTCCCCAGATTTAATATCAATAGCTACTGGAAAGCAGAGATAGACCCTGGGATCTGAACATCCCTGAAATTTGAACCTGGCTCTGAACTTTCTGGCCATCGTAGGTGGAGTGGCATGCTG